ATAGAGAGATAGATAGAAAGAGATGAGTGATAAAGGGAAACGAAGAAAGATAGAGATAGAGAAAGATAGAGGGAGATAAGGAGAGATAGATAGATAGAGATAGGGAGAGATAAAGAAAGATAAAGAGAGATAAAGAGAGATAAAGAAAGAAAAGGTGATAGGTAGAAAGATAGAGAAAGATAGAGAGATAGATAGAAAGAGATGAGTGATAAAGGGAAATGAAGAAAGATAGAGATAGAGAAAGATAGAGGGAGATAAGGAGAGATAGATAGATAGAGATAGGGAGAGATAAAGGGAGATAAAGAAAGATAAAGAAAGATAAAGAGAGATAAAGATAGAAAATGAGATAGAAGTAGGTAGAGATAGAGAAACATAGAGATACATAAAGATAAAGAAAGAAAAAGAGACAGACATAGAGAAAAGAAGATAGACAGGGAGGACAGAGATTGCAAGAGAGAAGACTAGAGCAATGGATTTGCAACATATAGAAAGACCAAGGACGACGAGAATCAGCAGAGCGCGGCGTGGGTGGAAAAAGGAAGGGCAGAGAGCTAGGTTAAAACGATGGCTACGGCGAAACAGGTTACCGAGGAAATCGGATTTTCGTTTGCTGGATAATCAACGCCGATGACATCGATATCGGCCGGCATATAATCACGCCGCGGGGCTAATCGCCTGAACTCTGACCTACGCGGGAAAGGGACGCGCGATACGCGAACGACGAGCGAAAGAGAAAGAGGTCGGCGGTACGCGGGACGGTGCAGAGGAGCGGAGCGGGGGTGGTGAGCGGCGGACGAGGAAGGACGGGCAGCCGTGGCAGGAATCAAAACGATCCGGTTTACCCAGTTGTGTCTTGTTGCCCTCCGGGTTTTCGAATTTTCCAGCGGACCGGTCTATTCGTAAACTCGTTCCCGCGAAATAATTGTCGATCGTCGCTTGGCCGGCCCGGCCGCCGCTTGTTAACGAGCCACGGTTTAACTATCGGGCAGATGTTAATCGTAACTGGGCCAGGGGCCGGGTAACTTAATTTGCCCGGCGAGGAATATTGTCGAAATTCGTGACACCCGGGGTTACCATGTTTTCCGGTTATTGAATACAACTGAGCCGGACGGCGACACCCCCGCCGGAAAACGTTCACGGTTTTTCTCGCTGGAATTAGCTACCTGACGCGGCGAACGAATCGGTTGGCAATCGTTGCTCCCGTTCTTTGGGGGACGCTTCTCTTTTTATCTTTATGATCTGCTGGGAATGTACTTTTCGACGAACGATCGGTTTTGGTTAACTCAGTGTCATCGAACAGTGAGTCTTACCTCTTTGCGACCCTGTAAATGCATGTTTTAACGATTTTTCATGGAATTAACCACTCGATGGATTAGTTCTCAACTGGGATTGGTACTTTATCATTGATGGTTTATTGAAACAGGAAGATTTTAGGGATGTTCGGTGTCTATGTTTGCTTCAAAGTATAATTATTGGTAATAGAAGAAGAGTGTTTTATTTTAATTCGAAAGAGTAATATGTGTGCTTGTTATATTTTGTTTAAAATCTTTATCGTGACTCTTATGTTATTATAAGGTAAGGGGTTAATCGTGATGTCATAGCTGTAGCGTTTATAAATAGAACTTTAAAACTTGTTAAATATATTCTCGAATGAATGGGGAAAATTACATTTTTCGATGTGTTGGAACGTTAAAATTGTTAGGATGGTGAAATTAACAATGAAAGTGTGTGTGAACATGTTTCTTGCCAAAAATTATACTCTGCAACGTACATAACAGAAAGAAAACATTATTTAATTAGAAAGTTAAAAATTTCAATGATCGTTTTTGTGAAACACTGATTAAGAACTACTACTACAGAAATTTATTTATTTGTTGTATATAGTATCATCCCTACATGAGAAATTTACACATAAGCTTCGACTAAAAATTATTCAAAATACAATTAGAATAATTAAAACAACTTTTGTCTCATTACACGAAATCGAAGTCGTTGCTTCGATTAAAATATAAATTATATTTAATATTATACTGTATAACTTACTAAAATATTATGTCGTATTTTCTGCATTTTAATCGTTTATCTGACTTACCTTTCTATTTTTGAACATTCTCCTTTCTCTACGATGAAAACGAAAAGTAATGTATATGCAAAGCATCAAAAGCCTTCGACCAACTTTCCCGACATTTCACAGAAAAAGTGTCAGAGCTGTTCCCAAAGGTTTCCATAATTACTGCGAATAATATACATTTCTAAAAACAAACTGAACTGAAACTAAAATTACAAATTAAAAATCTCTGCTCTCACAATTCCAACGCGAAAATGTTTTGGACAGATGGTGTGTAAAGCTCCTACGATGTATCGTGATTATTATATTTCGTTTGAAGTGTAAATTTGGTAATTATTTATATTAACGGACATCGGACCGATGATCTTGTCCTTCAGACATACTGTTAAGAACGTCATGAGCAACTTTTCTTGCTATCTTATTTAACGATTCTTTGTACATACTTTTTAAAAAATTCATTTAACAAGTTTCGATGTATTTATAACTATTAAGAAAGACACACCCTTCGTTGATTTCAACGACCTTGAAATATGTTGTGAAGGACATTACTCTGAGCAATTCTTCTTCTTCTCTGTACATGTAATCGTAAAACGTTATACAGGGTGTATCTAATAACTGGAACAGGTTATAACACTTTATCTGTTAAAGTTAGAAAAAAATCATAAAGAAATTTACATTATCTGACGAGCTCTATTATACTGCCATGTCAGTTTGCAATTGCACATTGCAACGGTATCAATGCATTTATTAAAGAACTAGTATTATTAAACAGTATTTAAATTTTAGACTCGTCCTCGTGTCAGATATGTTACAGTTGTTTCTTTCAGAGGATAAACGGAAGCAATTTATTGGAATGTGTTTAGCGACT